ATATTGAAGACTTGCTTTTTCCTTGGACCTGCTGCAGCCGCATCAAAAGTTTCAGCGTTGGCGGCAACGGCGGCGTCGGGGATCACGGTATCAGAAATGATGTTCCATATTATCGGATGCATCGCCCTCATAACCATCGGCGGCGTTGCATTTTTGGACAGTTTCAAACAAAGCTGAGCACGCACAAAGCCATCAAAACAAGCTTTGGTTTGAACCTTAGGTCGTTCTTGCAATAACCGGTCCAGGGTCTTCCGGTCCTTTGCTTGGCCGTTAGCCCGAACGACGTCTGCACGACTCTAACTCGCGGACCGAGACAGAGCGTGTTAGGCTTTACCCGCCGCTGCACGCGCCTCAGCTAGCACCCGTCTTCCGTCTTCCAGCACGTCCGGCTGCCACCCACCACATGCCGGCGTCTCCAACATCCGCAGCCTGCGTCTCCAACATCCGTACCCGCTGCCGTCCCCACTGCTATCTGACTGTCGATCCTCACTACCCACGTCACTGTCATCTGGCTCCCCCGCTCCCCTCTCCCTTGAGCATAGGCAGGCGCGCAAACGCTGTGCACGCCGCCACCCTCTGTGGACGACCAGTAGTGTTGACCGGTTCTTGCCAATCATACATCACCCACAAACCTGGTACAATTCCACACGGTCCGTGGGAGGCCGGCAAAAATAGAAATCTGAGTCTATTTCTGTGCTTTTTGTGAGAAACCTATACAAGGCCCGTGATTCATGCCGGACTCAACATTGGCGGTGGTAAACATTGCGAGGTCATCTTCCTCGTTCCGCAACCACAGAAGCAATTTCAGCTTGGGATAGGAACGGAGCCACGAACGACTCGCCGGTGGGATGTCGTCCCGACGACGGGATCAAATAACTTGATGAATATCCGGCTTCTGAGTCTTCTTTGACACCGGTTAATGTATTTTCCCCACGACAAATTGAAATCTCTGGTATATGAGTCCACCGAGTTGGGTCGGTGCATTTACAATTATTTCGCCATTGCATTGTAGCACGTTGGAATGAAACAGCTTTGAGGCCTTTATTTCCACACATCAACGAGCTTTCGCATTACGTAGGATCGTAAGAACACACGCATATTTTCGAACGCCTTACAGCCCCAAGTTACTCTATGTGTTTCCACGGTCGCTAGGACCGGCAATATGATTGCCATCTGGACAGACATGGCCGCGTTGAACCGACGTGAAACTCCCAACCTGCCCCAATGACGACTGAATGAGCACGTTGTCCCAAGCCAGCGGGAAGGGCGGGCGAGTAGTATAAAAGCGGCGTTGCGAAACCCATGAGACTCAGGCTTTACCTGCCCATTTGCCTACCGCCTTCAGAACCCTTCGCGCTGATCGTGATGTTGTCCCTGACATTTGTTCTGCTTGCCGCTCTTGCAACTGCGTCAAACGGTGCCGTCTGTCTTCTCAACCTAAGTACGTCGAACTGACGAGTGTTTCCAGCGGCACTCACTCGTCGTGTGGTGTGCCCTGACGGCCATACGGTGTCTAACGAGGCCTGCTGCGCCCTGTTCCCCGTGCTCGAGGACCTCCAGACAACCGTGTTCGACAGTGGGTGTGGCGACGCCGCTCATGCCGCCCTACGCGTCTCGTTCCACGATGCCATCGGCTTTTCAAAAAGCCAACCGAGCCTCGGGTGCGAAATTATATCCTCCCTCGGCTGATACCGCGGCTGACCAATATGTGACAGCACTGGCGCAGACGGTTCGATATTGATCTTCGCGGAGACTGAGCTTTCATATGACGCCAACCTCGGCATCGCCGACGCCTTCAACGTCGAAGTGCCTTTCATCATGAAGCATAACATCTCGGTTGCCGACTTGTACGACCTCCAACACGTCTACGTCTTTCCTACTTACATCTATCCTAGTATTCAGTTTTCTGCCGCGGTTAGCTTGACGCACTGCCCCGGTGTTGTTCGCCCGACATTCATGTTTGGCCGTGTCGACGCAAAATCTCCTGCTCCGGATGGCACAGTCCCCGAGCCTTTCCGTACGTGCTTGAGCAAGTATAGACGTTGACTTTCTAAAATCCTCCTCTCAAGAATCCGTCCAGCAGATTCTCGCGCGCATGGCCGACGCTGGCTTCACCCCTGCAGAGGTGGTCGCACTCCTTGCATCGTAAGTAATTTTGTAAGTTATTATTCTAGCTCACTTTGATGTTAGGCACTCCATTGCCGGAGCCGACGATGTTGACCCGACTATGGAAGGTGTACCTTTCGATTCGACGCCCTCGGTCTTCGACACCCAGTTCTTCGTCGAGACTCAGCTGCGGGGCACCCTCTTCCCAGGGACGGGGGGAAACCAGGGCGAGGTCGAGTCTGCGATCGCTGGCGAGCTCCGCCTTCAATCAGACTCCAATTTTGCCCGTGACTCGGCCACGGCCTGCCTCTGGCAAGAGAACGTCAACAACCAGGCACACATGGCGTCCTCCTTCCAGCTGGCGTTCGCGAAGATGCAAGTCCTTGGCCAGGACACTTCGAAGATGGTCGACTGCTCCGAAGTTATCCCCATCCCACCACCTTTGTCTGCTGGCGCAGCCCAGGCGTTTTTCCCCCCCGGCCTCTCCATTCACGACGTCGAGCAGGCGTGTGCCAATAAGCCATTCCCCAACCTCCCGACGGCCCCCGGTAGCCCGATAACCGTCGCTAATATGTACGTTGTTCCTTTGCATATGCTGTTTCCAAAACTGACCGGTTGTTGCATTCCAGCCCTCAGGACCCTGCGACCGACGGCGCGTGCCAAGACAACGGGCAGGACTGTACCATACAGTAGGGGTTCCTGGTTCATTAATTTTTTTATTGCCCGGTCGTATTACTAGTACTCGTCTTCCTGTTTTCTACCTCTTTAAAATCACGCATGTCTGTCTACTTGAAGCCGTGTCCCATTTTATGTGGCGATCATTTCAACTGAGCGGCGTTCTATTGCCGTGTTGCGGCTCTGCCGCTGTCCTCTGTCTTACAGAACCGAGCGGCTGTGTATTCTTTTTCTATTCGCTGTAGTTGACTCGGACGCTGCTTTCCTCTATACTGCATCTTCTCTTCACATACACCGCCAACGGATTACCAGCCGGCTACCAGCTGGACGCGTTGTGTGAGCCAAGCGCGTCGACCAGCTGGGAACACACTGGCCCCAGCTGGTACCCATATTAGGGAGCAAATGGGCTCATGTTAGAAAAAAAAGTTAAGGCTTCTGGAGGGGGACCGACCGACCGTGACCGTCCCGATATAGTATTTTCATCGTGACCTTCCCCATATGGTTATATCTTATCTATGATGTCGGGATAGGACACTCGTTTTGATCTCTCGCTTGCACGTTCATTTGCGCTACGTAGATACTAGATAAGAGAATACTATCTAGTGGCCTTGCAGGCATTGCATTTCCAATCTCAGAAGCTTGTAGTCCAGGCCTACACAAGCCAAGTGAAACTTAAAGCATGATCAAACAAGGGTGCACCGGCATTCAAAAAAATGCACTAGGGCCGAATTTTTTTTTTAGGACCTCTTCGCTGGACCTACCTACCTTGATCCGTCCCCATTAGGAAATAGCCCCTATGTTTAGTTGCCGGATCACCCAAAACTTAACAAAAAACTTGGCCTGAACATCACATAGCATGGTAATATGGGTTCAAGGGCTGCTGGATGTAATAGCCCGATTTTGTGTCCCATGCCCAACAATATATCAAGTTGTCAACCACGGTGTCGCTTGCGTAAGTCGGCTGTCAGACACGAGTAGTCTTGAACAACAGATTCTCGATGAACACAATCAAGGTGATATTAGAAAAAGCAATGTCAACACTCCTTGGTTATCATACAAACACGTACTTTGCACGTACCCATTATGTTTGCTGGTGGATCAGCTCCAGCCAAGCAGGTACAAGCCATTGCCATATGCGGACACATTTGATATTATATCCTTCATAGAAGAACTGCACTGTATGTAATGTATCCAGACAAGTCTCACCATGTTCTGGACACGTTCTGTGGTATTTCAAGACAAAAACCTAGTGGTTTTAATTTTTTTTTTCCGGCCTGGCGGCCGGACCTACCTACCAGCCCTTAGTCGCCGGTTTGAATGCCGGTGCACCCTTGTGATCAAAAATATATTCAGACACGTGTTAACCATACCATTCTTGACTCACATGAGTCACACCCGTGATTCATGCACTCTACGGAATCATCACTCCGCCTGTCTGTTTCAATCACTTCCTTCTTACATACACTGCACTCAGAAAATGGTTGAAGGAAACAGCGTCTCCTTGTTGTGGGCTGGGGTCCTGGGGAACTGATTGTGCAGCTGGGGCTATTGCAATAGGTGCAGAAGCGATGATCATAGGCATAGGAACAGTGTTGCAGCAGAGCTGTTCCATTGGATGAAGCCATCGAGGTGCGAATTGGCAGGAGGAGAAAATTTGGGAAGCATCACATGTGACAATGCCTTGACAGCCGGCGGCATGCACGACATTCCACCGTGCATGGGCTTAGGACAGTTCAAGAGCACATATCTGAGGGTGAGAGTGTTTAATTGGACCTGGAAGGCTCTCCGAGGCCACAAAAAATTTTTAAGGGTCGGCCAGGGAGGGCCAGGGGGACTGACCGACCGTCACGCTTGTCACTTTTGCTCACGTGCCACCCCTTGGGACAAGTGTGGGGCTAGTACTTCGTCTATATCCAGCCTTGTCCGTGTAGCCGTGCTGGCCGTGATTATTACAACACGGCAATCCCGACGGCAATCTCGATTTCTTCCTGGCACGGCTGCGATTACACTGAAGCATCATGGTTTGTAATTTTATCGGCCACATCACATAATATATCCAAAATTAATCGCCTCCATAAAATCATCTAGAAGTACGCTCAAGTACTTATACTACTACTTATGTACTAAACTAAGTAAAGTCTGCTTTCTCAAGTGTAGAAAAAAATCCTGCTGGGTTTGTGCATCTCTCGCAATGCACAACGCACAACGGTTATAAAAACTGAGCCGACCCAGGTTCGAACTGAGGACCGCCTGTGAACGTGTCTCCTTTATGGTCCATGTTAGACAGGTGTGATAAACCAACTACACCATCAGCCCATGAGCAACAGTACTGCAGTAAAGGAATTAACCTTACACATCTCTTTCGCCGGGCTGGGGCTTTTATCGCCACTCAAATGCGATCAAAAGCCACAAAAAAAAAGTCAGTCATGTCTGGTACAAGCCAAAAAAGTCGTTCTCAGAATTCACGGAGCCAGGGATACGGGTCGGGGAGAGGGGTGCGTGTGCGTGTACATCTACAGTATCTCTTATGTCGTCTCTTGGAGGTGCACTGTGCCCCAACTTGAATGGCGCGGACAACGTGTTCGGTGACAGGTTGTTTGCGGAGCCCGGGACCGCTGCGTGCGCTAAGCAGACATAGCTCCGACCACCATCGAGCCGCGGTGTACCGTGACGCCGCGCTCTGGTGTACTAGTACGTCCGGGCAGCAACACACTCAAAGATTGTGCACAGATGTCAGAGACCCAACACCAATTTTATGAACGGGTTTATAAACACCCAGTCAAGTTCAATACAGCCCGGTTATAATATCAACCGAGGTCGACTTGGAAATAGTAACGCGGCGAGACCTGAGAGTTGCCATCGGACTAGCGCTGTCCCGGACGCGATCGGGAGAACGCTCAATATCACCAGTGCGCCATCATGATTGGTCCGATCGCGACATTATCGGTACTAGCTGTTAGTTTCCAAGTTTGAGAACATGATTTGCCACGCCGAGGCGCCGTCTTGAAGTTGGCCATTTCAACATCGATAACTTTTAGATTCATGAATTTAGCCGCCAGTTTCTGTGAGAATTCTGCTCACGTGACTCTGGATCACGTTTTTGTTCCAGTTCACAAAGACTTAAACCAGCGGCAAGACGGACATTCCAAGTTCTGTGAATATAATTAAAAGATTCAGACCACTAAACAAGGAAATCCATCAAGTTGCATGGGGTGATCCACTGCGCGTCGGCTGCCTGAGAGGTATCGTAGGCGTGGTGGACGGGGTGGGGTACGCGGACCCGTACAGCGGAGATGGAAGCGCATCCGGGGCATGCATGTACAGTGCTGTCTGCGACTCGTGCGGGTGCGGGTACGTGCTCGCGCTCGAGGGCGGTGTCGGGTACGCGTCGGCGTCGGCCGCAGCGCCGTAGTACGCGCCGCCTGCCAGCGCAAAGACGTCGACGTCATGGTCCGAAGCCAGCGTCAGCGACGGCGTGCCAGCGGACGGACGGCAGCCCGAGCGCGCGATGGAGGGTAGGGGCGACAGCGACGGGGACAGCGCGCACTCGTACGCGGCGAACTCGAACGCCGGCGCCGCCGCGTCGCCGTAAGAGGGCGCCATCGCCCACTCTGGCTCCGGGGGCGGCACCTCGAGTTGGAGGCGCGGGCTCGGGTATGGCGAGAGCCGCGGCGAGCGCGAGGCCCGCCGCGTCTGCGCCTGCGTCTTCCTTCCGGCACGCGTTCTCGTGCTGGTGTCTCTAGAGAGCACGCGCTCGCGCTGCCGCTGCGTCGCGACGTACTCGCACTGCATGCCGTTAAAGTGGCAGCGCATGCACGTCCGGTCCTTCCCCTCCGTTATGCACTGCGGTTCCAGGGTCAGACAACTTGTGCTCGACGCTACAAAGCGGGGACGTGCCTTTATCTTGCGCTCGCGGCAGTTTGCACACGCAAGCGCGACGCGTCTGGGCACCTCGAAGAGCGCGCTGGGGTTGGAGTTCATGGGGAGAGAGGGGTATGCCATATGTGCTGGAAGAGATCGTATCAGACGCGGGGCTTTATACCTTCGTTGCGTTGTGTGCCGTACCGCCCGATTGACTTATAATCTCGCCAAGCTTGGATCCCTGCCGGCGCGGCTGCACCGCATCCCCAACCTCAATTGTCTGATTCAAATCAGAGCCAGGCACACCGCACCGGTACCGTTACGTACACACTTGACACTGGCAGTCCCGCTGGCAGCTCTTGCGCGTCCACAACACGTCCACTGGCAATCCCGATCTCGTTCTTCTTCCACCGCGCTGTGTAAGTGTAACTCCCGACCGACACTCCCTACCGGCGAGCGAATCCCCGGAGTCCATGCCCGTCATCGGCATTGAGTGCGTCGGGGTCATCGTCTCCTCTGTCCGTCGCCAGCGCTCGCACCTGGGACGCCGGTCGTGACGCTCATGGGCGGCCTCAGACGCACACTGAACGGCAGCTACGCGGAGTACACCGCCGCGCGGCTCGCGAACCTCGTCCCCGTCCTGGCCGCCGCTGTCGTCGCCACGCTCGGCTGGGCGTACCTTGCGGCGCTGCCCGAGACGTACGCAACTGCGTGGACGTGCATGTACTGTAGTACGACCTCAACGTGCGCGGGCGAACGGGTACTCGTGCGCGGCGGTGGTGCTCGCGGCGCGCATGGGCGCGGTGGTGACGGGGACAGTGCGCAAACTGGAGCCGTAGGCGGGGCTCGGCGCGTAGGAGGTGCTGCTGGAGCTCGGTGCAGCTCTGACAGAGACGCTGGTGGCCGACGGATGCAAGTTCTTGTAGTCTATCTGTAGTATTTAATTCAGTGATTAATATTTTGTTTTTATACCTATTATGGTGTGCGACACAAATGGCTAAGCAGGTGGCATGCATAAGGAATACAGCTGGGATATCGGCTGGATCCAGGATGGAGCTGGGACCAGGCTAGGCTCCTTAAATTTTTTTTTGCCACCCCCTTGTCTATATCCCATTTATGTGGCGATCATCTCCGCTGATCCGTTCACACCTCCATTGAGCGGCGTTCGATTGCCGTGTTGCCGGTATCTGCCGCTCTCCTCGGCCTTACACGGAACCGAGTGGCTGTGCACTCTTTCTTCTGTTTCTGTCACTGTAGTTGACGCCGCTTTCCTTTAAACTGCTCTTCATATCGGCCATCGGCCTGTTGTGCCACTATGTCGTGTGCACTGTAATTCCGACTGATTACGCAATCCGGTGGCTGTGCTTTAGACACGTCTACCGCTACCGCTCGTTTCTCGCCTCCCACCGCCGACTCGACGCGTTTTATCGTTACTCTACGGTGGTTGTAAGTCAGTTGGAGGATAAAAGTCTGTGAAAAGTCGAAAACGATCCTCGCATCGGAAAAATCATCCTGGAAAACGGCCGTCAGCCTCCACATGTGACACGCGCGTCCAAGGATTTCGCGCTGGATTGGGGTCGGGAATCGGGTCAAGCGTGCGTCCTCGTCCCACTCCCATCTGGCATCTACACCGTCTCCCTCCCTCCGCCCCTGCCCTGCTGTTTCGCTGCTCCATCGAGCTCACTGGACCCCTCCTTCCGCCCGATGAGCGGCTTGTCCCCGGCGTGCTCTACGTAGCCGTCCCCTTCCTCCCCCGGCGCCATCGTAGCCCGCCACCGCTCGCTCCCCACGGGCGCCCTGCTGCTGCCGCCTTCGCGCACTTCCTCCCTAAAACGGCGGCCACCGTCCGCGCGTACAGCGCGCTCGAGGACGAGCACCTCCCCGACGTCGCACCGACGCACTACATCGGCAAGGCGCGCGCGCAGATGGCGTTGGAGCGGCGGCGGGCGGGAGCGGCGAAGGGGCGCGAGGCGCTCGACCACCAGGGCGTGCTCGGTACGCCGGACATAGTGCAGGGCGAAACGCGAAACGGTTTAGCAAAGGCATTATTTTCTCCATTATTTTTCATTTGGGTTTGTCGAGGTACCTGTACCTAAATGTTTATCACGTAAACGAATATCACACTGTTAAACTGTTAAATGAAGTAGAGATTCATCGCACACTGCAAGCAAAGTGGCAGAGGTTAGTCAAGTCTAACTGTCTGGACCAACCAGATTGTGTCCCTCTGGACCAAACACTCCTCAGCGGTGTTATACGCCGCATTCTCCATCACGCCTTCCAAATCCCCTACCGTCTCCTCGATGACCGTCGCCGCCTTCTCCTCCATCGCGCGCGCAACCCCAATTGCCTCGCAGAGCTTCAGGCCCGTCGAAAAACTAGTCAGAACGGAAATAAAGAAAGGCGCATAATTTAGCCGAGACCGAGCGGACCCGGTGCAGCTAGAGCTGGCTCTAGAGCCAGTGGCACGGAAGGAACGGAGTACGGCGCGCGGGAAGGTTGTCTAAGGAGAGGTAGGACCCCCGGTAATAGGTGGGAAGGGGGTTACAGATTCGGGTGAAAATCACCGCAATTTTGGTCAAATGCAGTTGCAAATTCGGGTGGATTTGGGGTTGAGTACGGGATGCAGTTACAGATTCGGGTGAGTTGCACCTGAAACTTTATTTTTCTGCATTACTGTACCATTACGACCAAGTGTTCATCAATTTCGGAATTTTCGATGTCCGGGATGCCCAATAAATTTTCTTTTGCATTAAGGCGATTTTTGCACACATCAAAGAAATCTGGGTGTGACCTGTGACTGAACACTTGGTCGTAATGGTACAGTACTTTCGACGCTTCTCTCTGGTGTCTCAGCTCAGTGGAAGGGTGCGCACTGTGGAGGATGTTGATGTGAGCTGCAGGTAGTCTAGCCTTCAAAATAACGCGAAAATTGGGATCGTAGGGCGGAAAAACGAGCAAAAAACTTCATATGGGGTTACAGAATTCGGGGGAAATTTTGAAATTTTTTGCTATGCGGTTACAGATTTCGGGTGAAAATCAGGCCCGGAGTCCATCCAATTCGGGTGAGCCATCTGAGATTCTGTAACCCCCTTCCCACCTATTACCGGGGGTCCTGGTACGGATGAATGATGTCGTACGTGAGTGGTGTCCCCAGCGGTTTCACGGCCATGATGGGCGTCGCTACGCAACCAGTGCCGAGGTAACAGGTTGCTCCTGGGCAACGTCAATCCACCGGTGCACCTCAGCAATTCCCTCCAACAGGTTCTTGATGGTGCTCGGGCTATCCCTAGTCTTGCGTCTTGGGAGGCCATCTTTGGTCTTGGATTGAATGTCTTAGGTTATCGCCCGAGGATTATTTTGTGAACTAGCAGTAACCCGTGCTTCGCTACGGGAGTATTTGGACCCAGTTAACTTTTTTAACCTGAGGTCATACAGTGGCGCCATTTTTATGTGCA